CCTAAGTTGACTAGGTGGGCCGCAAAAATAGACCAATATGACTGTGATCTTAAGCCAGTGAAGGGCAAGTACAACGTAGTTGTGGATGCTCTAAGTAGAAGATCCGACTACTTTGGAGCTATAGTACACTATCTGGATATAGGGAGAGACCTGCAGGAGAAAGTGAAGCAAGCGTATGCGCATGACCCTATCTATAGCGACCTCCTAAAAGGAGTTAGAGAGGCCCCAGAGACTGAGCCAGATTACCGCACTACAAACTGGTTGCTGTTTGAGAAGACTAACGTATTTGACCGCCTGTGCGTTCCCAATAACGAAGAGATTCATAGTCTGATCCTAGGGGAATGCCACGATATTGAGGGACATTTCGGTTGGCAAAAGACACTAGCCAATCTGATGCGCGTGTACACTTGGCCAAGGATGAAGAATGACTGCATAGAGTATGTCCGCAGTTGCAAAGTATGCCAGCGTAATAAGACTACTACGCGCGCACCCCTTGGTCTTCTCAGACCCTTGCCTATTCCGGATCATCCGGGAAACTCAGTGTCCATAGACTTCATGGACACCCAAGTCAAGAGCAGACATGGTAAAAGCCAAGTCATGGTCATAGTTGACCGATTTGGTAAGTACACAATTTTTGTTCCTTTGCCTGCAAAGGCACACACAAATTTAGTGATACAGAAGTTCTTTGACTTTTGGGTTAGTGAGAATGGAATCCCATTGCCAATAGTAAGCGATAGAGATAGTCATTTCACCAGCCAGAACTGGCAAAAACTCATGAGAGTCTACGGATCTAAGTTGTTAATGTCGTTCGGCCGCCATCCAGAGACTAACGGTGAGACTGAACAGATGAACAAGATCCTACAGCAAGTTCTGCGCACGTACATTAGACCTGATCAGATCAACTGGGACGAGATGTTGCCCAAGGTAGCTAGCGCATACAACAACATCGTGCATTTGTCCACCTGTCGCACTCCCAATGAGCTGCACAAGTCCTTTAGGCCACGCAAACCATTCGAAGGACTGAACCAGGATCAGATCTACAGGCTACCGCCCGGTACTAGGGAGTTTGCGGCACAACACGAGAAAGAACTAGCAACCGTTGTAGAAAACCTCAGGAAGGCCCAGCACAGAATGGTAGAACAGGCTAATAAGCACCGTCGCCCGTCACAGTTTCAGGTAGGCGACTTAGTCTGGGTCAAGGCTAAAGAGTTTCCACCTGAGGAAAACATCTCGCAGAAGTTACTACCTGCATATAGAGGACCGTGGCCGGTTCTAGAAGTTAAGGGTGGAGAGGATGGACCGTCCTACACTATAGAGATTCCAGCACACCTCCACACATACCCTGTGTTTCATGCTTCAAAGCTGCTGCCGTGTGTCACAAGTCAACAGTTCCCTTCAAGAAGATTTATGATCCCCTCGTATATGGATGGAAGTTATGACATTGACGGCATTGTAGATGAAGATGTGTTCAAAACAGGAGGTAGGGGTCTTCCACAGAAACAGTATAAGGTCCGGTTTGCTTATCAGGAACTGGAAGACGACCGCTGGTTCACAAGAACAGAACTTCTAGAAACAGCTACCGACATAGTCTGAGCCTATGAACGTGATAAGCCTTGAACTGAAATATTCTCGGAGGACCTCGAATTTAGGACAGCGGGAGTGAAACGGTTTTCACCTTTTAGCAGTAGCAGATGCAGTACCCAGGGCTCGATCCCTAGACCTCACCCTACCCATGTACAGTATCKGTGTAGAYCCCGAGAGTTGAACCTGTGACCTGTGTATTCGTAGACAGTTGRTAGGTCTGTYGTAGGTCCAGAGGCAGCAGGGGTTCGATCTGTAGGTCTATAGAATAGAAGTCTTAGCAAGTTCCAGAAGTCTAGCTGTAGTCCTTCTAGAAGGTCGGCAAGTGGGCAAATGGTCAAGTGGCGAGGCAAGTGGTGGACTTAACTGCAGTGCAATTGCAGTACGACTACGGTAGGATATGAGTCCACAGTCAGTCAGCAGTAAGGTCCAGTAAGTCCCAGTCCGGTCCAGCAAGTACCACGGGGAACTGTGAGCACCATGGGCCGATGACAAAGGGCAGACCAACGAGTTTCCGAAGTATAAATCAAAAGGCAGCGCCCAGCCTTTCATTCATTCCTGCGTGAGCCATGCGGAAGCGCTGCCACAAGCGACTTGTGCAAGGGGGTCTACAGATGAGCCCGGAGGACGCAGTGGGCGAGAGAGGAGGAGCTTAGTATAGCGATAGGGTAGAGGCAGCCATAGCTGCCATAGCTGTAGTTAGTGGGAAGTGTGTGTGTGTATGTGTGAGTGTTCGAAGTGATGCGTGTGGGATATCCAGGGTGATCTAGTGTATGTGAACACTGAGTTGTTTGGGCGCTGAGTCGCCATAGCCAGTTGAGAGTGAACTCGTATCTGGATGCTATATCTCTGAGTTTTGAGTGGGCGCACGCCGCCAGTTTGCTGCGATGCTGTTTACATGCATGAAAAGTGTGAATGACAACGAGTCTCATTGCACCTCCTACTCAATCGAACAATTTCTGAAGATACTCTACCTCGAATTTAGTTCCCCCTTTGATCAACCCTCAACCATACTTAAATGAATGTTCAAATCAACTTCTCCCTATCTCCACCACTCACATACACAATGAGGGCGCACAACTACACCAGCACCCAAACCCCAACTGTCTGTAAGTCGCAGGCGCTGATCTGGCACATGCCAAATTCCAATCCGCAGCGCCCGTATTCCACCACGAAGAAGAAGATGAACTTCGATGAAAGGAGGAGATGGCTGCCTGCTCGATGGAAGCAGCCAAACAGTCCAGCCGCTCGATAACAGAGCGGCTCCCTCGAACCTCCCAAAAAGAAACAGCAATGTGATGACCCGCAGCACACTGAACCATTCAGATCAGGTGCTGTCCCTCGAGGATGGGCACCCCAGCTATGGCTTCCCCTTCAGCCCGAAGGAAACGAAGATGACGAACGCTGGAATCAGCGCTGCTCTTTCCTCCCGGTCAATACTTTTGGCCAAAAAATGAGGAAAAGACACGAACGAAATCAGGCGCAGCCTACTTCCAGGGGCTAAAGGGGACCAAACAGCAACGCCCTATCTGAAAAAGGGGACCAAACAGCAACGCCCTATCTGACCGTCGAAGCAACGACCATCTACGACCTATAACTCATCTGCACCTAGACTGAAAGTAGGAAATGGGGGACCAGACCTACCACAGCCTCAAAGAAACGGCCTACAGGCCTATCGGTTCCCCAAGAGCAGAAAAGACAAAACTAAGTCCATCCACCCGAATAGAACACAGCCCCAGCAAGATAGAGGTCCCGGGATCAAGCCCCGGCGAGCACAAAAACAAGGAAAACTAAGACATCTACCAAAGTTAGTGTACAGCCCACTGGTAAACCTGCAATTCATTGCACATACACATGTGTCTCTTCTTTTTTCTTTCATTTTTGAACTGACTAGACTCAAGTAGTTAAAGAATTCCGTTCATCTAGTACTATCCAGATTCGAACTCAGGTCTGTATTTCTACAGTTCACGGGTGTACCAAGTGTACATACATCTGGAGAAATGTTCGGGTCTGTATTTCAACAGTTCACGGGTGTACCAAGTGTACATACATCTAGAGAAATGTTCGGGTTTTGCCCACTTCTCAAAAGAAGTTTTCATGGGATCCGCATGGGCTGGACTGACAGTCAATCCTTCCCAAAGGGAAGTAATCAATGCTGTCCGGTTTCCCCTGGCTGTAACGTGGGGATGCATGAGGTGGGTTATAATTTTTTTGCTGACTTGCCGGTGGAATAGGGACCGCACTGACGCTCCACAGAATAAAAGGAGCTGGCTCTTTGTGAAAAGAAAAGAAAAGGAAAAATTACGGGATCCTTCTCAGCTGAAATCTTAACTCCTTGTTCCCGTTGACCAATTATCATTCATTCTTACTTCCAACCACTACCTCTCATCCATGCACTGCAGACCGCATGCGGACAGCTGATATGAAACGCTCTATAAAATGCTCGTACCTCTCATTCGGTCCTCGCGGATCTCACGAGACAAAACCAAGCTTTTTCTAAGGCAAACCTTTCCACTGGTGCAACTTTTAGCATGAAATGGCCCCCCTGCCTGAATGCCCTGCACTACTCCACTAGGTGCCACAACTCGGTCACTGCAAAATATCAGCCCGCTCCGTATCTTGACAACAAGCAAGTATGCCCAAAACCTCCATGGGCATCCATCAAGACCTCCATGTCTTTATGCTGGGTGCTGGATATCAGTGCATTCAGCATAACATGTAGCTCCTTATGCTGTCTGCCATCATGTTCTCGTCCATTTTCCTCATGCCCATCCATTCTTCTCCTCAACCATGTTCTCGTCCATTTTCCTCATTCCCATCCATTCTTCTCCTCAACCATGTTCTCGTCCATTTTCCTCATTCCTATCCATTCTTCTCCTCAACAAACTGCACCACATCCATAACCTTCGATGTGCAGGCAAAAACATTTCTGTTCCAATGCACCCTCTCTCTCCCATCCTCCATCCCCACCAGCTCTTTCCTCCCTGCATTCCTTCCTCCTTTTCCTCCGTTCTGCTACACCTCCTGCACCTCCGCCTCCTCTTTTCTAACTAACGCATAGATGCCATCCACCTTCATATGGTACGGGTTCAAATTGCAACAGCCACATGAATGAGGGGCAATTTGTGTTCCTATGTACCCTACTCTGTCTCCCCTCATTCCCACCAGCTCTTTCCTCCCTGCATTCCATCCTCCTTTTCCTCCATCTCCTCACCTCACCTCCTTCTCCTGGTCCACCTCCTTCACCTCCTCCTCTTCTAACTAATACACAGATCCCATCCACCTTCACATGCTACTGGTTCAAATTGCAACAGCCACATGGAGGGGAAAATTGTGTCACTGAACTACCCCCCCCCCCTCCCCCCAAGTTGCTTACACTCAGAGAAGGGCCGAGCATCTCTCTTTGTGTAAGGCTGTACCTCAGCCATGTTGTCCAGGACATGAGGCATAGCAGGAAATGAATGTGCCCTCCTGGAAGGATTAGCAACAGATGGCATCATCAAATGTGTCCTTTCAGAGCAGGGGAGGTGATGTGAAGGGTAGACAGAGAAGGGCTTGGTGGGACAGAGATCGTGAGTGGTGGCAAGCCGAGACAAGGAGAGCTCTTGGACGGGGAAGGAATAGAAGAAGGGGGGAAGGCATAGGAGACAAAGGGAAGCGCAACCATCTGTTAAGGGGAGAGGAAAAGGGAGGAGCGGGGGAGGAGAGGAGGAGAGGAGCAACCTCTGGCAGCAAAGACAGCGCGAGAGACGAGAGCTGCTTGGCGAAAGAAAGAGGGAGGAGGAGAGTAGGGGAGGGGAAAATCTTAGCAACAAAGACAATAAACGAGACGACGTGGCAAGCTGAGACGAGGAGAGCTCCTGGACGGGGGAAGGATTAGAAGAAGGGGGGAGAGCATAGGAGACAAAGGGGGAGCGTGACCATCAACTAAGAAGAGAGGAAAAGGGAGGAGTGGGGGAGGAGAGGAAGAGAGGAGAAGCCTCGGGCAACAAAGACAACGCCGGAGACGAGAGCTGGTTGGCAAAAGAAAGAGGGAGGAGGAGACCACAAACGCGACGACGGAATTTGCAGCAAGGAAGTTCAACAGCGGCAAGTGGGTGCGCCCCAGCCAGTCCCTCGAAACCGGATTAAAAGAGAAAACAAAAAAGTAACAAAAAAGGAAAAACGGGCAGCAACATCGCAATATGTAGATGTTAGAATAACAAAAGTTAAGAGAACGAAACACTCAAGTAACCAAAAGAGTAAAAGTTAAAAAAGAAAAAAAGAGAGAGGGCTGAACGAGCAACAAGCCTACAGGCACAAAAGCACACCACAAAAAAGAAGGGAGACAACCATCACCATCAGAACAATGACTAGGATACAACGTGCACATAAAAGACTGGACTCTATGCCGATGAGGCAACTGACGGATCAACACCTCCGTCAGATGAAATGGGCCCGACAGAACCAGGTCTCAAATACTGCCAGCCCCCGCCGCTCTGCCAGGAAGAGAAGAGGACCGGAGGGGCTCTGCCACAAAAGGAAGACATGGGGATTCTGACGGAGGAGGAGAGGGAGAAGGAGCAGCAAGGGAGTGTTTTGCAGGAGGGCAAGGGTGGCTTGTCTGCTCAGGAGCAAAATAACGCCCAGTTGCATCTCACCTGGGTGGATAAGCTCAGGAACCCCCTCCAAGGCCAGGCCCTGACCATCCAACGTGGCCAGGGCAGCCCGCTGTCGGCGCGAATACCCTTACAAGGGTATCCGCCCTGGTTTTTGCAGATGACAGGAAACCTTGGCTAAGTTAGGAGGTGTGTGGACACGCAGTTTTAAGGCACGCATGTGATTCTTTCGATTGAGTGGGCGGCCGACTTAGTCGACCAACCCGGACAGGGTTACGGATTTGATTAAGGGATAAAGGTTCGTTTTTGCTTGGCACGCGCGACCGACGCTAGGACTGGCGCACGGGATGGCACGTGGGGCAGCCACGGCGCGGTCTAGGTAAGTTGGCGCGGGTGCCTAGCGGTGGCACGCCGGCTGTAGGCAGAAAAGGAGGCCCAGGCTGTTTTTCCCCAGGCTTAGGTACCGCGCGGTACCATTTCATATTGAAATTCGCGCCTGGGTGTTTCAAGCTTGGGCTTAGCCCTATAGGTTATGGCATTGGACTATTGCTACGGAGGTATGGGGATCGAGGCTTGTAGACAGCAGCGCGGGAGCAATGGAGCAGCGGGAGGCTAAGGGGTTGAGGGTCCTGTGGGACTATCCCCCTTTTGTTTTGTCGGGGGAGTCCGGTCGCGGGCCCCGCCCCTTGGCACTAAGGGAGCCCTGGCAGTTCCTCCCCCTCCCGACAATATCTCGGGATGTTTAGGTTATTTTTGTTTTTTTTTATCTAGGTTTTTATGGCCCCACCTCTGCTTAAAGACCCGACGCTAGTCCGCGGCCCGCAACCCCCACTGGCAGACCGGGAGTAAGGAGGCCGAGCGGCCTTTGGCGCCTCCACGGGGCATTACCCCGGCCGGAGTCCTTCGGGACTTTCGTAACGATACGGAGAAGATTTGCACAGCCCCTGTGCAAGGATGGGGCACAAGCAATCGGAAGGAACCCGGACACAGACCGCGCCGGGTACGTCCAGACAAGAGGGGCCAAGGGGCGGGCTGGATTGCCCCACGATTGAAGTCGCCCGACGCGGCCTGTAGTGGTAGCAGAAGGGGCGAAGCGCATAAGTCTGGGGCAGGGGAGTTGGGTGTTTCGTTTTTTTCTTCTTTCGGTCGCATCCGTTTTATCGAAGTCGGAGTGCAGGATCGGGCGCTGCGAGGCAAATTACGGAGCAGTCGCAGGAACGCGCAGAGCGGGGGTAGCGTTGACATCAACAGGGGTGGGTGAAGGGAGGACAGGAGGAACGAACTGGGACGGGTTAGTGCGCTCGGGGTGACCAGCGGTAAAAACGGCAGGATAGCGAGCTCGGCATAGTGGGAGCGGACGCTGAGGCAGGGGGAGACAGGGAAGCGGAGTGCGATGGCGAGGCACGCGGGGTGCATTCGGATGCCTAGATGGTGGAGGAAAGGGCCGGGCGCAGGGAAGAACACTCCCCGCTCTCGATTCTGAACGAAATCGAGAGGGGAGAGGAGCGATCCCGAGGTTTTTGCCGCAGGCGAATCACATAGAGAGGTCAGTTTTAGTGGTGGGTGGCTGGATCGAAAGGTTAGTCGAAGAGTAAGTGCGCGGTAGCTATGGCGGTGCGAGAGGGAGGTTGAGGGATGGTTTACTCCATCATTCCTAAGCTGGTCGCGGCAAGCAAGGGGGTGGTTCCGGGGTGATGACCGCGGGCGATTCGTATGACGAAATCAGATTGGAGTGAGAATGGGTAAGTTGAGAGCTGTCAGGGTTGATATGTGCGCAGAGTGGAGGCTGCGAGGGGAAAAAGCGATTCGAGGTTGTGAATGAATCTGTCCACGTTTCATCGGGAGATTCATTCGACTTTTTCTTTTTGTAAATATTAATTTCTATGGGAGTGTGTCAGGCGGGGGCTGAAGAGAAAAACTTACCGGTGGGTCGGGGCCTTTGCCCTGCCTGATGAAGAGAGGCAATTGGACACATTGGATAGGAGGAAGCCTTCAGAGAGGGGGAAGGAGAGGCTACCTACCTGGCCGGAGCCTGTTCGACCAACTGCATCAGAAAGGCGAGGGAGTCAGAGCTACTTACCTGTAGGGGAGGCCAGCGCTGGAGATGGTGGGGAGCTATGTGCGGAGTCGGAGTTACCCGGTGACAGGGAAACTGGCCACGGAGCGCCTGACCGGGCGGCGTGTCGCCCACCCTAGCAGCCCGTGAACTGAGGAGCTAGCGGATTGCAGTGCTCTGCTGGCTAGTGTGCAGCTTTGGCCAGCGGCCGGGAGGCCGGGAGGGCACCTACCTCTGAGCGCGAACATACAGGGTGAATTGAAAACTGAGCCGCGATGCCCAGTTACTAGTCGGCACAAGGAGGAGGGTAGGAGAGCTTGACTCGGCGCTGTGGAATTGGGGGGGGAGTCTTGTTGTGCAAGCAAGATCCTATTGTTGGGCTTGCGGCTGCGATCCTTTGAGCAAGCACTATCCTGTTGTGCACCTCTCCCCTACTGATCCGAGAAGGCACAAGGGCGGACTTTAATCAAGATTTGCATTCCTGGATTGCACAGCATTGGGTGGATCGGAGAGAGAGTGGCATTGTGACTTGACCAGGAGAGGTCTGTCGCTGTGGGCGGGGGCTTGCCGGAGCGCCAATAGTGAGGGGGGTTGACTGCAGTTGATCGGGTAGACTGCAGTTTGCTGACCTGTCGCTGCGTGTCGCCGACACTCTGATAAGGAGTAAGGGAAACGTGCTCTACTGCGCAACAGCGGTGCTACCTGGGATTAAGGTAGTGGGACTTGGTGGCGTGACCAAGCATGCAGAAGGAGGGTCGCCGGAAAGATCAACAGCGCGGAATTGGGTATTAATTGACCAAGTTGCTGCGCTGCCAGGTAGTTGTTGCGCTGTCTGGTCACCATTACAGGACTGTTGGCCCTGCTACTAGCTGTGTTCGTTGGTTGAACACGATCAGCTGCTACTGCTGTTTGGTATTGGTTGCTGGACGATGTGGTGCGCTATTGCCGACTATTGCCAACTGTTACAGACCGCTATGTGGTGCGGTTGAGCTTGGGAAGGGGGGTTCATGTCGTGATTTGAAGTTCGGCAGGAGGCTTGAGTCCAGCAGTTGACTCCAGTTGACCAAGCGGGCATATTCTTGGCCACCATTGCGGGGCCCTCAGGCATATCCAGATATCAAGGCCCTCTCCTGCGAGTCTGAGTGCACCTCTCTTGGATCTGAGAGTCTTAAACCCATCTCCATTTGCCCTTCTTACTCTAAGTCTAGTCTGCTGGTTCTGAGAGGAGGGCGGCAGGCGGGATTGCAACCCGTTATCCGCGCCAAGGCCTCTGTGGGAGGTTCGCCCCACCGATTGCGGGAGCTCTGCCGGAACTCAGGAGGAGTTCTGGAGGCAGGGAATTGAGAGGTAATCATTGCTTCCCCTCTATAAACCCGGTTATAACCCCTATCTGTACGTCTCTCTATGCGTTGACTGAGTATGTTGCATGCACACCATATTTGACATTGGGTATTTGACATTGGGTTTGACTTTCAGGACACAACCCAGACTAAGTAAAGGAACGTATGAGTAATGGCAGTTTCAGTTTCTTTGCTTGACTGAAAGCAGATTGTAACAAAGGGTTGCATCAGGGGGAAGGTTGGGAGAAAGGTGGTTTTGCCTGGGATTGGAAGGGTCTTATAGGGTCAGGCATGGTTCCATAAGATTGGATGGCCTGACTGCTGTGTTTATTCCGGTTTTCTGAAAAGGCCAAGCTTTGTTTCCAAGATGAGTGGCTTGACCGTCGTGTTTATTTAATTTCGCCAGGCTTTGTTTCTAAGATGAATGGCCTGGTTGTTTATTTTGTGGGGTTTAAGCTGTGCAAACTTGAGGACCAG